GTTTGGCAGGTTCCCCTTTAAAGTTTTTCTCTTAGACACCAGGCAATGCGATTCTACCGGCTTAATTGTGGATGAATTAACCATCCCAACTAATAAGTTCACACCGATTTTTTTATAATACAATTCAACCAGAAATTGCTTCAATTGTTTGTATTATTACATGTCTAACAATAAAAACACTAGAATTTGTCGTTTTGGCAAAAGCTATATCAGCGCTCATTCCAAAATGCATCAGCACTTGTTCTAATGTTCAAATTTGTTTTGATGTGGCGTAAATTGGTGTCTAATTCCAACACTTTCCTTTATTTAAAATGGATGCAGAAATGCTATAGCGTTCAACAGAAACAGAATTATGTCACTGGATTCAAACGTCCACTCAGCACAAAACTGATTTCTTATCACAAGAATACTGCAAAGTATACACTCAGGCAGTAGGGGATCACATTCACCTCTGCTATGCATCACACGATGCGATTGCCATACTGTCTTCATGCATACTTGGTCTTCATGGTCACAAAAAGTCAGTGAAAATACACTTCCTGCATGCTGTATAATTGATTAAAGTAATACCCCATACTGAACTCTGTGTTCAGACAACCAATTATCTAAAGAATTATGGTAAAAAGTAACCACAAAATACAATACAAAATCATATAATGATGGCTACAATACCTAGGCATAACCTTTTCTCATACATACTCACAGCCAGTTTCACTCAGTTGTGTGATATAAGCAGTCTTTCACTCAATAGAAGATACACTGGCTAAAATATTGAAAATTAAATGTATATTGAAGGATAAAGCAAGTCCCCCTCTCCCCTTGTTACAGTGATTGCATCCTTAACATTTCGCCTGCCGAAAGTCTCTACGGATAGTCGATATGAATGGTATTTATTGGCTTCAGCGAGTGATGTGTCAACAGTATTATGGAACCTATTTCTAAGTTCATTAATAATTTGTGTAAATATTGAATTTTATACATGTAGTTGCAACTGTATTATCCATGTTTTATCTGCCAGTCCAATGCTGGTAAAAGCAGATGTAAATTTATCTCTGATACAGCTAGTGCTGGTAATAATGCACGTGTACTTAGAATCAATAGTGGTCCTTTTTTTGTTGCTTTCCTGAAATAAACATTATTGCTTTATATTTTTTGCCAGCACAGTAACAACTCTCAAATGTTGATTTGGACACACATGTTCCTTTCCATACGTCTTTCATATTATTTCTGATCATTTGCTTTTCTATTGTTTTTTCTCTCCTTTTGCTTGCCATCCCATGACTACGTCCATCCTATTCTTGCAGCTTACAGTGGCAGATGGAGAAACTATGGTAAAAAAAAAATACTTCCTCTAGATCATATATATAATTATATATGTAGTGGTAGTATCTGTATTTAAATTGATGTGCTTTTGTATTGAAACAATGAGCTCAGCTACTAAAAAAATTATTTTGCGAAATGCACACAAGATGCAGCTTGCTATCTTTTAGCTCCTCAAATTACCTGATGCTGTTTTAGAATCATTGATGCACTGCAGGTATTCCCTCCCTATTCATATCATCATGAAATAAACCAGATTATATTTATATATATGGATCTTTTCAACTTTAATCTTAATAAATGCACAATCAGTGTCTTTTTCAGTCTAGGGTTTTTATTTGCCATATTAGTAAGTTCATTTTGGAATGACACTAGGAACTGTATCAATAATCAGTAAACTAATGTTATCATGATTTGTTGAATTTTTGCCCTTTTCAAAATTGGGCGTACATGCATTGATCATTGAAAATGTGTGTTTGACGAATTTACAAGTGTTCTTCTGTGTTTGTACATGTATACTCAGATCTTTCTCGTGTGTTCCTACATGTATACCTTTGTGGCATCACTATCTTATGATTTACCTTCCAGATCTTCAACATGATTATTGCTTGACTGATGAATTCTGTCGTAATCATTTCCTGGTGGGTTTATTACTGCGGGAAATCTCCTGCGGACTCCATGAAACCAAAGAAAGTAGGAAGTGTGCCATCAGTGTACTTAGAAACTTGCTAGTGAAGCATTCATTTGATGATAGATACAAGTCAAAGGTAAGAATTTAATTCATGGTCAGCTTTGATAATTTATCTGCAAGTTTTGGCATATGTGCAGGCACTGGAGCCAATCTGTGTACTGCTCATAAAATGGGAGCCTATGTTACTGATAAGTCTATCTGTCCTGCTGTCTGCTTTGATAATTTACCTGCATCTAAATATAACCTAAAGGACTTGTAAAGTTTTGGCACATGTGCAGGTACTGGAGCCAATCTGTGTACTGCTCATAAAATGGGAGCCTATGTTACTGATAAGTCTATCTGTCCTGCTGTCTGCTTTGATAATTTACCTGCATCTAAATATAACCTAAAGGACTTGTAAAGTTTTGGCACATGTGCAGGTACTGGAGCCAATCTGTGTACTGCTCATAAAATGGGAGCCTATGTTACTGATAAGTCTATCTGTCCTGCTGTCTGCTTTGATAATTTACTTGCATCTAAATATAACCTAAAGGACTTGTAAAGTTTTGGCACATGTGCAGGTACTGGAGCCAATCTGTGTACTGCTCATAAAATGGGAGCCTATGTTACTGATAAGTCTATCTGTCCTGCTGTCTGCTTTGATAATTTACTTGCATCTAAATATAACCTAAAGGACTTGTAAAGTTTTGGCACATGTGCAGGTACTGGAGCCAATCTGTACTGCTCATAAAATGGGAGCCTATGTTACTGATAAGTCTATCTGTCCTGCTGTCTGCTTTGATAATTTACCTGCATCTAAATATAACCTAAAGGACTTGTAAAGTTTTGGCACATGTGCAGGTACTGGAGCCAATCTGTGTACTGCTCATAAACTGGGAATGATTATTTACCTGAATCAAAATATAACGTAAAGGACTTTATGTTTACAGATACATCTGGCAGGGACACGCTGCCAGCTTTGATCATTTCTTGCATCAAATATAATGTCACAAACACATCTGTTTGATAGATCGTAAGAACCACTAGCATGATTGATTGCAATAATGCACTTTAAGACAAACACCTGACATGAGTCAATCATTTTTACGTTTTCATTTTCTCATGAGAACGTCCACATACAAGACAAAATCTGACTTAAGAGATGCAAATCTTGTTTACTTTGTCTGTTGTAGGCCATGCAAGCAAGAATAGCATCCCTCTACCTCCCGTTCATCAGTGTGATACTGGAGAATGCACCAAGACTAAATCTTCGTGACCAGACACCATCATCGAAACAATCCACGCCGCAGAGCAATGGAGATACCCCAACGATGACACCCGATGGTTCGTTTCCTAGTCATGTGATGCCCTCTAGAAGTTCAATGTCCTTAGATTCTGGACAATTGGATAATACAAGTTACAGTACAATGCCAAGTATAACCAAAACAACAAGTGCAAGAGATTCAAGCGTTTTAGATCTGATAGCTGGCAACAAAGGTCAGTCTTCCACATTTTGTCACACTACCAATCTCACTTTTTTTGCAGAACTTTCACACATTTTATAGTACCTGTAATGTAATTATATTTATTTATCTTTTAACAACGATGCTGACATTTTTATAATTACTTTATAGTTATTGGTTTGTCATCTTATACATGACTTAAAACATATTATTATTAACCCTTCGAATGCTATAAATTTATTTTTAGGTATTTAATTTGGACCAGATGAACATAAGCTGATTTACATATGGCTGCATTCGTACAAATTAACCTTTGAAATATGACCGACTTCTGTCACGAGTCTTTGTAACATTGAGACGCCATTATGTACCATACATGACGTACATGTGAATCAGTGTATGGAGTAAATGTTATACTATCTCCTCATCACTGATTGCTTGGTTCATTGCAGGCATAGTGCCGCTATTGTCCGGATCCACTCCCGGTATTTGCAGCGGTGATAATATGAGTAACAGCAACAATCAGGGAATCAGGCGCTCATCCTTCAGTATAGGTTTGTCATCTCTCATCCTCTTCATTTCATTGTGCTCTAACAAACTTTGTTTCTGGTTGCTTTTTTTGCATTCATTTTTTCAATTAAATTTCTGATCTGACAAATATTTTTGACTAGGTTTGCAATCACTTAGTGA